TATAACGTATTGAACCCTATGCTACATGCCCCCTACATTTCGTCCTCGTCCGGCAATAACCTTATGTACTTTAGATAGATAATGACACATCGGCATGCGTCAATGCTTTCGATAAGATTATATAGCTCAAATATAGATAATCATACGCGATCGAGCATGAACAGATGCGAAAAGAAAACGCCGAGCTTAAAACACAGTACACATTTGCAGAACTCACCTGGCATAAGGAGATCCACAGACTCCGTAAGGGAGTTGTCATCCTTACATCGAGACATGTAGAAAGCCTTGATTCCAGCTGGAAACCTGTTCAGCAAGATAGGCTGAAACAAATTAGCTAAATCTGATAGACCTCAAGTAAAATTTAGCGAGAAAAAGCAGAGAGATCAAATACAATTCTGATAGAGACAGAAACTCACAACTCCGATTGTGTCTGTCATTTTCCTCTCCGCTGCTTCCGCGATATCTTCACCGTGTACAAATTTCTCGCCATGCTCATTACGGACATCATGCTCGATCAACCACTTGATCGCATCGCTGTAGGTCATGCGAAGGAAAGGTCTTTGTGGTGGTTTGAAGTTCTGAACAGATTTTCTTGGATATGCGAAGTTCGCAGTGGATGATATAAACTTACAGGATTCACATACTCAATGAGTGGTTTCACATGCGGGTCTGACATTAACCGATCCACTGTGTCGCAAACAATGTCTTCGATCTTGTCCATAAGCTCGTCGAATGTTATGAATGCACATTCCGCCTCCACATGAGCATATTCTGCCAAGTGGCGACGAGTGCGGGATTTCTCAGCGCTAAATATGAGATCAAGTGTCCAGGATAAAAACACCTCCAACGGGAACTTCGCCGAGCAAGATGAAAACTAACCGATAAGATTGAGCGATGCAGTATACATCTCCAAGAGATGCGATACAAGTTTCTAGGTATAGCTGGGACGACTGTGTCAAGTATGACGGTTCTCCAAAGTAGTCAAGAGCAAACAGCGTTGAACCACCCTCTACCTGAAAACATCCATTAGTGGATGTCTGTGCCGAAACGCCGCGCATTTTACAGAAGATTGCTACCACTCGATAAGTCGGATATTCAAATATAAAAACAATACAATAAAAAACTGCTCTAGGAAAAGCTAATCAAATCATTCTAAATTTTAGAAAGATATAGGAAACAAATTTATAACGGAAACCAAGAGCAAGATCAATAAGCCACCTGCGTCTGCACCAGAGTTGGTGGGCACATTTCCGTATAACCTGCGTGATAAAAGTGCTCGCGCATCGCTCTAGTTGCCGCAGCTCGGATCCGCAAAATTCTGGAAGCGTTCTCGCCGCGTATAACAAGATGCCTGAATTAACAAAGCATAAATATGCAATTTATGCAGGGAGAAAACTTTGGAAGTTGAAGACGAAAGAAAGTAACAATCCCACCTGTTGTCCAGCATCACTTCGACTCCAGCTTCTTCGTTCAGCACGTTGTCTATACCCCCTGGTGGTGCAGGACCGATGAGCTCCCAATAGTCTACGATGAGCTCATGGCCGTCTGGGGCTTGCTTTCCCTCTGGTACCTATATGACGGAGATAATCGGATCTTACGTACACAATATTTCTTACCTTCTGAACGGTTCCATATACTTCCACTGAGCTCTCGGTGTTCAGCGTCACAGCGTCATAACTTTGACACTATAAAGCATTGATGTGCACAAGAACAATTTCAAAAAACAAGCCATGCTCTCAAACGCATTGATCAGGTCAAATGGGAGGGGGAGGGGGTACTCGGGTTTTGATGCAGCATGAGAGCGCTGCTCCTGGCAACACAACATTTCAAGTCCGGTCGTAAAAGGTAAACTCTGGCAAGAAAATCGCTTCGGAGAAAAGGGGCGGTACTACTAATCC